GGGGGATGGGTTGGGGATAGGGGTGGGTATGGTGTGGGGTGGAGATTAAGGGTTGGGGTGAGGTGGAGATGTACGAGTGGGGTGGGGATAGATTTGGGATGGATTGAGGTGGAGATATTGGGGTGGTGATGGTGTGGGGTGGAGATGTAGGGGTGGGGGAGGTGGAGAAATGTAGGGTGGAGTGGGGATAGGGTGGGGATTGGTTGGGGATACAGGGTGGGTATGGTGTGGAGATGTAAGAGTGAGGTGAGGTGGAGATTTAAGGGTGGGGTGGGGGTGAGGATGGGGTGGGGATGGGTTGGAGATAAGTGTGGGGTGGGGATGGGTTGGTGAGATGGGTGTGGATAGGTGTGGGCAACTAGTGAATTTTGGCAGTCGTGGTGACTATCAATAAATCTTCACGACTGTTTGCATTGTTTATTTATCCACTACATGTAAATACCCATGTCTGCGGTTGCATAAGAAAACATGGGGTTCATTTTGGATGATGTCACTGTGCGTTTCACTTTTTTCCATTTGGATGGTTGGACTTTTAGGCTTTTGTGAATGAAATATGATGCTTTATTTAAGATAAAAACTTTTGTCAGAAACGCTTGTGATATTCTTTCTTTGCTTCTCTGCTTTACAACCACTTTTTTGGAAGGAAACCTTTAATAATCATTCCACAATGCGATCAACAACTTTGCAGAGGTAAAAAGCACACAGTGCTTACGTCTGACTGGTGCCCGACCCGCGACACAGTGCTACGATTGCAACAGTGAAGGACAGGGACCTGTTTATGGCTGGACTGCATGCATTTGCGCACTGAATCAGGCTGCGGGCTCCCTTCGGCTGTCAAGTCTGATGTTCGTAAACATGTCCAATAAACATTGATGGAGAAGGGAATTAGAGACAGATTTGATCCACGAACATGATTTCATATTTTCTGTGTATGTATTCAATGTTTTAATGTCTTTATTTCTAGTTTGCACAGCTCTCTCAAGAGACGATACACTCATGTAGAGAAGCGAATTTTCAAGAAGTTTTATGTCCACGTGGTTTTGTGGTTCGTTGCCCGTGCAGACCCGACTCATGCCCAGTCCAGCCACGCTTCTTCTGAACGATACATGCCATCGGGACTTCAGTTTTTGTACAATTTTAAGAATCAACGGCTTCAGATATATTTTTACAAATGATCAACGCAAGTTTGGCACTTTTGAGAGTTTCCATTTCGACAGCTTACTTCCAAACTTCCAAACCACTTCTGTGTTGTTGGCAGTGAGACAAAAATTAAACTGCTTGAAATTTCATATTAAAGGAATTATTCCTACATGTTTCGGCAGACTAGTTTCATGCAGAACACGGATTTATCTTTCCCCAATGCATGCAACAGTACCATCACTTTCATGGTGTTTTACGTACAACACGTACAGTACATGTAAATGTACATTGCATGCTTAAGCAGTGCACATGATAGTTCACCTGAATGCTAATGAGTTTACAATCATGCATGATGCATGTCGACGGGAGAGGTGCGTCCTGGATGGTCAGTCACATTCACATGACTTGGATACTTCCATTTCTTCAAGGGGAGGGATGAAACCCTATTTTTATCTAAACAACATCGGGAAAGCTTATAACGAATAAAATATTTTTATATCACTTTGCACAGAAAGTAATTATTACCATATGCATACAAAACTTTTTTATTTCACAAATGTTTATACATTAAAAATTAAACAACAGAAACAACAAAGGATCACTATGTTGGTCAATGAACTCAACTGGGCACCGTATAGTTTACAAATCAGCCTTTCCATGGCAGAGGAATTATAGGAAAATTTGGAACCGCACATCACAAACATTAAACAGTGATTTGCAAAATAACATTTGTGACAAGTAAAAAAGACTCTATCACGGTGTGCACATTCATCGCCAATCCTTTTTTACTTCACAGACATGCATAAAAATGCAACGATTTTGAGGCTTAATGCACAGATGCATGGCCCCGCTCATGAATAATAATATCTTCAAGCAAGAAGGAATCATGTTTACGCCGTGTCTAGTGCAACCATGTCCAGAGCGGACTCTACTAGTCCCGGCTGTGATGCACTGGCACCAGGCCCACACGACTCAACTAGTTGCAGCTGCACAACTACTGCGACTAGTTGACAATACCATCGAGAAAGGAAACAAGGTATTGTTGGTCACTCACGTCTATCAGGTTATGTAGCGTGTGCGAATCGACTAGCCAAGCTCGGTGTACAAACTTTACATAGGTATGGGCAGCGTGTGGCTGCTCCATGAATACACATGGCGCAGGGCTGCATGCTCTGCACGCTGTGGGGCCTGGCCGGCACTCTATTGCGTAGTTACGGGCACGTACACATACATGTACAGTCGCGGGCGCCGCGGGCTATACGCTATGTATAAGTTCCAGCCACTAGTTGTGGCACAGTCCGACTAGTCGCCGCGTCACAACTAGTCGACTATCTGGAAATTGATAGTCGTGACCACAAACACCTTTTGGTATTGGTGACTAGTCGACTAGTCACACAGGCCCAGTGTGGGAGACGGGTGTGGTGTGGGGTAGAGATGTGGTGGAGGATGAGTGTGAGATGAGGTGGAAATGGGGAAGGGATGAATCTACTTTACAATCTCACCCTGTTGGACATGATGTCCAGGAAATTATTGAAGACCTGGTTGGTGACGGCCAGCAAGCAGTCCCACATCCCGGCCTTGTCCTGGATGATGGCCATATCCTCTAGGTACTCGAACATGGTGCAGAAGCTGGGGGCATCCTCATGGAGGACCCGCAGTGTCTCTAGCTGGTAGACAGAGAGCAGGTAGGTGCACTGGGCAAAGTCCAGCTTGTTGACATAGGGCACGATCTCGGCCGGCGAGCAGAGCAGGGTCAGGATGGTTTGTCGCAACTCGTTCAGATCATTCTGGGGGTGGGGAAAGATTCAGCGAAAACAATGTTTCATGAAAAATTTCTCAAAACTGGAGAGCTTCAATGGAACTTAGTGGTTTGTTCTGAACCAGAGGGTCTCCTAAATACATTGAAAAACAGTGGAGTCTTGGGGAAGGGAAGATTACATTAAACCGAGTGTAACACACAAGAGATGGGTGGACCTTGTACGAAAAAAAGCAAGACAGTATTACAGATATGAACATCTGTGTTGCTATGGAGTTTTCAAAGCAAAAAACAGTATTAGAACAAATTCTGGAGTTCTGGAACATCCTTGACAAGTTCTGAGACAAATTGGACACTGAGCACAGCAGCCTTGAAGTAAATTTACTGTTTTGAAACAAATCCCCAAAACTCATGTTTGATCTGGTCCAGGTAAGCATGGATCAACTTCTGTTCACAAACAACTTACATAAGACACGCTGTCATTCCTCAGAGCGGAGGTGTACTGCAGCTGAGACCGAAGATGCTCTCCTTGGAAGGAGGTGAGAAGTGGTGACTTGACGGCGATGATGCAGACTCCTTCGTACCACTCGCGAGGCCACAAACCTGTCAAGAGAGAACAGAATTTTAGTTGATAAGAATCGCAAACCAAATTAACCGAATGAGTCAAAAGTGGCCAAAGTCACTAATATGAGTTTAACAACCTTTAAAAGAAATTGTGCAGAATGTAAAATGACAGGAACCCCAATATCTTTCCCAACATAATATTCACTTTCACTGGAGCAAAAAATTTAGTGACAAATCAAAATAAAGAGCTCCTTTTGCTGTTTAAATGTCAGCTGACACACAATTACTGCAGAAAAGTGGCTTTAAAGACTCATTTCATGGGATCTGGCCACGATTATGCAACCACAGGCTCCAAAATGGCCAGACTAACACTCTGTGAGAAAAAACAGAGAACCCATTTTCCCCCTCATGAAATGTCACGTATACCCATCCGTGACTGTTTGCCTGTACCTGAGTCTTCAACAGCAAATCCCATTACTACGGTGTAAAGCCAAAAATCTCGGAAGAGCTTTAGAAGTCTTGGCTTCAGGACTCGGATTGGCGGAAGCCTCCTTATCAGCTAGAAAGACAGACAGTACAATATCATATGACTCAATATAATAAAAATGGAAACAACTTCGATGCCGAGTTTATTCAGTAAACTATTTATATTTATGTACATCTCTTCGTCCAACACTGCATTTCAATAGAGCCAATTAAAGGATGAAGTGACAGTTAAGAAGACAATGAAGAAATGTTCAGTTTAAGGGGTGGGAGGAAAACGCCGGATAAATATTCTGGGGAAAACCCACGGAATCCAGCAGGGACTGAAAACCCAATCCACACGCTGACCTACGTGGGAGTCGAACCCAGGTCGCAGAGGTGGAAGGTGAAGAAAGAGCCACTACGCCAAGCTGACTCCCTATTAATTGTTAAAGGTATAAGGAGTGACTTCAAAATGTGCAACATTCTGTAATCCAATGTATCGGTATGTCTGACTATACGTGCCAGAACACTTTACAATGCTGGTCATGTGAATGCAGGTTTTTTTGGCAACAGTTTTTTGGGGCTGGTATTTTGTATCCCTGAAACCACCCAAGCTCCCTGGGAGTGTACCGTTCTGCCCATTTTGGGCACACACGGCTAAACACGGTAACCATCTCCGCCCTCAAAGACACCCCTTCATACCCCCTGGGTGGGGGAGAGTCACATGGCATTGAGACCTATATCTATGAGACCCAGTCCAACATATTGATTAGAGTATACCTTAGGGAACTCTGGACAACATTCCATTAACCACTTCGTGCCGGGGCATTTTTCAACGTTGAGGATGCTGGGCCAGCATGACTATCATTTTTTCCGTTTTCAAAATCCTTCAACAATTCATCATTCCATTTAACAGTCATTTACAGCCGCACGGAGTAATCTT